TATGAAACTAAGGGTTGGCAGGGGTCCAGAATGCAGTTTGGATGTTGAAGAAGAGTGGGTCCATGATTGGGAGAGGAGGTGATCTTAGGTAATAAGGTGGGCTTTCTTTGAGTATTAAAGTGGACTCAAAGAAGGGCTTGTAAATTTGGATTTAATGTGGGAGTTACTCATGAAAGGGGAGATTTGTTAGGTTCATAAGTAAAGAATTATGTCTCAAATTAGTCCGAGAAATGGAGAAAGAGTGGTTAATATGTAAGTAAGGGCCCAAGACCTAATGACTTAAGGTTTTGGGTTAGAATTGGGTTCCTAACTTACATATTGGGCTCTTTGATGGACTCTTTCGAGATGTTTCTTCCTATCAGAAATAACTATTGCTTATATTGGAAATGCTTATTTGTAATCTTCCCAAAAATTGTGAAAACTAAGCATTAATTAGTTATCATTAATTCAAGAATGAAAATTGTTGGATTCATTTTTGTGCACCAATTGAATCTTGTGCAATTTTGCACCAAATAAACCTTTGTTGAATGCCGGGAAGAAGAAATTGGATGGTACAATTTCTATCACAGGTGCAACTTATGGCTGCAAAAATGTTCAACAAAGATAGAGAAGAAATTCTGCAACATAATTTTGATAGCAGAGAAGAAAGGTCAAGAGAAATAACAACGATGGATATGCTTTACACGAAAGTTGTAACATCTTGGTCAATCCTACTTCGAAAAAATCTAATAACCCTCTGAAAACTCATAACCATACTTGTGAAAGGAAGTCTACATCATGCTTGTCAAATCTTTGTGGATGTTACTACTACTATTTTGTATTTGGACTACAAAGGGAAAGAAAAGAGGTTCTCCTAAAAAGTAAGAACCCCATTATGTTTTGAAGACAAGTAAAACATCAAAGGATGTGGATGAAGTTGCTAGGGTTATTGCAACAACCTCCACTTTGTCTTCTCAAAATTCTATATGGAAGGATTTTGAGCATGTCAAGAATGAAAATGCAATGGGAGATAATAGTGAAATACAAAAGAAAATAGCTAAAATGCTTATTAAGTCAATAATAATTCTTCTCAACTCCTCCCAATTCTTGCCTTTTCTTTCTTTCTTCCTCTTTTCTTCTCCTCCTCACTCTTATTTCTCTATTCTTTTACTATAATAATGTTAAAATATGACAATTTGGTAATCAGAGCCTATAGATTCTTGGATCTACAAGTTCTTATTAAACACCCAATGGCAGAGGGAACAAGATTTAAGCAGCTGGAAGAATAAGTTAAGAAATAAGAAGGGAAATTTCAAGTTCCTATTGAGATCATTTGACCCAATTTTGAGTGGAAGAACTAAAATATATGGATTACAAATGCTTTATGAAAGTTAGAATGTTCAAGAAAGGGGTGTGGTACTTCTACATATTACTGCTAATGAGCAGGAAGAAATGATATATTTTTAAGATTATTTGTGGATTCAAATAATCTTTAAAAAATAAATAAATAACACTTGCCTTGCACGGGAGTTGCAACGAGTGGTAATGATGAATTTCTACTTTGAAGAATAAATTTACTAGCACGGTCCTATATAATTTGACATACTTGACATTTTTAACTTTACTACTTATGCTTGACCGTACTTCAGACATGGACATGGAATCTAAGGTAACATGCAAATTAGCCAGCGAAAAACCCAGACTTGCTAAAGTTTGACATGTTAGGGTGAATTTCTAAGAATATTGTTAAATTAAAAAAAATCTCAATTTTGGTGTTCTACAGAATTTTATTCTCTTTGAACCACTGCATTTTCGAAATGCTACAACCACGAAATAGTATTTTCCTTTCCATTATTTTTTGTCATACCAGAGCGGCTGAAATTTTTTTTTTGCAGCTGCATGGTCGTCGCATGTGAAATCGATGCAGTGATTGTGAAATTGAGTTGTCGCTGTATTCACTTTTGAGTGGATGTGGCGACAGACATGTCTAACGACACAAACGGGGCATCAGTTGCCTTGTACAAATGAAGGAAATTGTAAGCCATTCATCAAATTTTGATCAACAACAGCAATCAATCGATACAAACAAGGACAGAAAATTTCTATAAATACGATACCAGATGCATCATTTCAATCCACACCAACCTCATTTCTCTCCTTCGTCTCTCTCTCCCCCCTCATCCCCATATCCCGATTATCTCACTACATCCTCGTTCCCATCTCCAAACATTGAGTCACATTGGTGAAGTCTGTTGGAGCCACATTGGTCGATACTATTGGTGAAGTATGGTTTCTATTCATGGTTGTTCCACAACCACATTGGTGAAGTCTATTGAAGCCACATTGGTCGATATTGTTAGTGATGTCTGGTTTTTGTCTGTGGTCGTTCTAGCGCCGGTGGTGGAGACTCAGCTCTTCAATCTTGTGCCATCAGTGATGAAGGTTCGGCTCTGCTTTTCAATCCTGTGAGTTTATTTGATTGATTTATGTATTTAATTAAAAAATTTGTACTATTATTATTTGTTGTAAATTTAATTAATGTAACTAATAGTTATTTATTAAGCAAATTGGTAACATAGATAACGTTACAACATAATTATGGATAATAATTTTTTGGATTTGTTGGTAATAATTAATTAATGTATCTAATTTGTGTATTTAGTTAACAATTGTAATTTTTTTAAACCAAAAATCTCCTTTTTATTAGCACAAAATATCACGATTACATGGAAAGGGCCAACTACCCTTTTCGAAAGTGAAAATTACATATACCCAGCCTATCTAGATGCACCAATCTCTAACTAGCCTGGGAAGGGAATGTTGAGAGCAAAACAAAGAGAGGAGCCCGAAGAGACTGTAAAACCTGCTAAAGAGTCCGCCACCTTGTTAGCCTCACGGAAACAATGCGTAAACGAACCCACCAAATATTCAAACAAGCGAATCTTCCATATAACCAGCCGAATGGAAACAGGACCTAGAGATTTAGATGTCAAAATACCCTGTAGCACCTTAGAATCCATCTCCACAACAATATTGGACAAACCCTCCAGAGCACAAATCGTAAGACTCGTGCATAGCGCCCTAGCCTTTACTTGCAAAGACATTACGTAGCCATAGTATTCCGCAAAAGCAACCAACACCTTGTCATGCCCATCTCTGAGGAATCCCCCGCCTCCACCATACCCTAGGTTCCCATGTGAAGAGCCATCCATATTGAGCTTAAGCTGTCCACCCATTGGTTTTGACCAAATTATTGAAAATTAGCGGATCCTAAGCAGGTATCTTTGTAATTCAGACACCCAGTCCCGCCAATTGAGTCTAGGGGAAACGGAAGTACCAAATTGAGCCCTAAACATGAACTTCAACTCAGTGGAGATCTGGAACACCATCTGGTGAAAACCAAGTACCACCCCATCGAATCAGACGTTATTCAAATGCTAAATGAACCAGAAAATAATAGAAGGGCCAACTCTAAATAGCCACTGAAGCTTCGGATTTGGTGAATGTAGCATTTGCTAGGATACCAGTCTCTTCCTAATCCAAGTGTTAACCCGAAAAATACCTAGCGGCTCCTTAAAGTGTCGCCATACCCAGTTAGACAAATCACTCAAAACAAAGAGATGATGACTCGACTCATATTTAGTAGACAGACAGCAATAACATTTAAATGGACCACATACCCAAGACCTAAACAGCATCTCCCCACCGATAACTTATTGCGCAACAGCTACCACATAAAGAAGGATATTTTAAGAGGCAACCCTAACTGCCAGATCCTAGAGAAAAATCCATGAAGAGGGAGCAGTATGGGCAATGGACATCAACAAACGCATCTCAAAATATCCAGAATGACCATAATGCCAAGTCTGAGCTCCTCCCAGTGGCTAGAAAGGGGTGCACCCAACAAGAACACAAATCTTTGGAGGAACAATTTGGCATAACAGGGGCAAATTCTAGTGATCACCTAGCCAAATTTCACCAACCAACACTGAAGAGGCTAGCGTTGGGAACTTCCACACCAACAGCCCCATACCAGTCCAATTGTCCCACCGAAAGGAGCAGCTACTATCCGAAAGATCCCACAATAGAAAATATTCCACAACCCCTCTTATTGACAACATACATTTCCAAGATGTTGAAGACGAGGCCTTAAAGCTCACTTGGTTTGGATGCATAGTTTGGCAATAGCGAGCATACATATATTGAGCCCACAACGAGCTCTTATGTCTAAATCTCCACCACAACTTGCAAACAAACATTATAGATATAGATCGTAAAGAACGGAATCCCACACCGCCAGCCTCCTTCGGAAGACATATTCTCTGCCAGGCCACCCAATGAAAACGTTGGCCAAACTGAAACTCCCCCAAAGAAAACTGGAGAACATATTTTCAAGATGTGACATAACACCTAAAGGTGGCTCTAGTACTGATAGTAAATATACTGGCAAAGATGCTTGGACCAAATTAATTAGCACTATACATGCTCCAAGTGATAACCACCTAGCATCCCATTGTTAGATGTGGCCACCAACCGAATCAATGATGTCCGAGAAATAGGACTTCAACTTCCGACCAACAAACAAAGGACAACCCAGGTATTTATTCGGAAAACTCTTATGCATAAAACCCATCAACTTGCGAACTCTAGAGACCAACTGGGGAGATGATTTCCCGTGTGAAAGAAAACAACTCTTTGAAATAGTCACTAGTTGACTAGAACATCACTGGTAATCTTACAATACCTCCATTACCATCCCAAGTGAACTTTTATTTCCTCTAGAAAATATAATCACATCATCAGTATACGCCAAATGGCCAATAGACAATTCAGATCCACAAAATAAGGGGAGAAAGACGGATGTAGAAGCAAAGCATTCAACTCCATTGAAAGCACCTCAACTGATATGATGAACAAGGCAGGGGAGAGCAGTCACCTTGCCTTAAACCACAGGAAGATGGAAAGAATCTGCATGGTCTGCCATTAACCAACATCGAAAACTTGCACAAAGATATAACTCTCTAGATCAAATCAATCCACGTTTCAAAAAAACCAAAAGCCCGCAAGACGCATAACAGAAACAACCAGGACACCCTATCATTAGCCTTTGCCATGTCGAGCTTAAGGGCAACATTACCCCCTCGAACCCGTTTTGAAATTGACGAAATCAACTCTTGAGCTAACAATACATTATCCAAGATTATACGACCCTTAACAAAGGCACTTTGTTGCAGGGAGATGATTTTACACAAACATGGGAATAACTGAGAAGCCAGTAATTTAGAAAAAATTTTATTAACGAAGTTGCACAAACTAATTGGCCTAAACTCAGAGAAGGAGGATGGATTAACCACCTTAGGAATTAGTGCAATGTTAGTAGCAGAAATACCCGTCAGCAAAACAGCACTAGCAAAGAAATCTTGCACCGCTAAGATGACATCTGCACTAATTATGTCCCCAGCAGCCTTGAAGAAAGCACCAGTAAATCCATTCGGACCGGGCACCCATTCCCCATCCAACAAAAATACCACCTCCTTAATCTCGTTCGTCGTGGGAACCTCAACAAACATAGCATTTTCTTCTTCCGAGATTAATTTGGAAATCAAGGAGAATATGTTATTCTCTACATTATTCGAAATATCCTCCTGCATCAACGTATTCAAGAATAAACATATCGCGCCTCCGCCTGTATATTCTGTTCGTCCTCAACCCAAACACCTCCATCACCCTTTATTCGATGAATGAACATCCTGAGACGCTTCAACTTCATGGATGCGGGAAAAACTTCAAAGTCGCATCACCCTCCTTAATCCATTTTATCCTTGATTTTTTATGCCAATATGTTAGCACAAAAAGTTACTCATTCGGCGGAAGTAATTTTGACACATATAAAAATATATGGGAAGAGGAGGAGAACAAATACTCAATAATTTATTTAACTCAAAACCCAACAATAATATATATCAAGTCGTAGCTTTTCGCTCACGACAACTCACAAATTTCAACTATGAGATTTTCTCTCAAACCTACTTTCAAAACTCAACTCAACTCTTCAAAGCATAACCTAGCTCCACTGTTGATATATATAGAAAGACTCGAGACCAAAGCTAAATCAACTAGTACTTGGACTAGTATTCTTGATTGACTTAAACCACTTGTAGAAAGGAAAGTTGCAAAACCAAATACTAATAGGACTAGACAACCTACACTACAAGGAACCTGCACTTGCCAACCAAATCAGTTTCGGTTTGGGACTCCTGGACAACTGACAAAGAAATAAAGAAAGACTTAGCATGGGCATGATCCCGTGCAACTTCCATAGCTATAATATTTACAATCATCCAAACTAAGTAACTAAACGATAATTAAATTACTAAATTAGCTTGATTTAATTTCCTTCATTGCCTCCCTTAAACCAAGCTCTTCATGTTGCCATCTCCAATGCCATCATGAGCTTGAATCTCCATGAAAAATTCAATCGCTGTATAGATGATGTGGAACTCCAACTTGCAATTGATGTCCAATTTCATCTTTATGTGTGGTAGTGGATGAAACTTGTACTTCTCGAATAATTTCTTGGCTTGATCACTCTTGTCAAAAAATTCAAATGTATCCACCAACTCTTCATTAGATACTCCACAATTCAATTCATCCATATCACCAATAAAATCTCCAAAAACCAGAAAATCATAATTTTTACCAATGAGATTTTCAACATCACCATAATTTTGCTTTAGTTTTTCAACACTAACAACTGCATCAACTTTAGGCGTATCACAACTTTCAATTAATTTGTCCATCTCACGATTGATTTCAACCAAGTCCATCACTTGATTTTTCTCGCCCAAAAATTCAACAGTCTCGATAAAGTCAACAATTTCTCTATCATCATGATCTTCAATCACATCTTTAATTTGATCAATGATTTCACTTTCTTTCTCAACCACTTACGAATTTTCTTCTTCAATCACAATTTCTTCATCTTCAAGTGTATCCACAATTGCTACAATTTCTTCTTTCTTTACCTTATGAAAAACTTCTTTTCCTTCTTCCTCGTCACAAATTTCTTCTTCACCATGACCATGGGAATTTGTTAAAAATTTCCAAACCTCCTTCACTGTCTTTACATGTATGAATTTTTTGGCTACATGTAATTGGACTTGGGTATAGAGATAGTATAATGCCTTATATTTCAACTGTCTATTCCTCTCTAATTGTTCAACTGCATCCCTTGATAATTCTGTGCCTTCTATAGGTTCCATGAACCCCTTTTGGATAATATTCAAAACTCTAATATTTTTGAAAAAATTCTTCATCATTGACCTCCAAATCTCAAAATCGTTTTAACCATCAAAGATAAATACACCACAACGTGGTAAATAATGCGGATCCATATTTTAATTTCACAAACAAGCCCCAGGATCAAAGTCTAGAGCTCTGATACCACTTGTTAGCACAAAAAGTTACGCATCCGGCGGAAGTAATTTTGACACATATAAAAATATATGAGAAGAGGAGGAGAACAAATACTCAATAATTTATTTAACTCAAAACCCAACAATAATATATATCAAGCCGTAGCTTTTCGCTCATGACAACTCACAAATTTCAACTATGAGATTTTTTCTCAAACCTACTTTCAAAATTCAACTCAACTCTTCAAAGTATAACCTAGCTCCACTGTTGATAAATATAGAAAGACTCGAGACCAAACCTAAACCAACTAGTACTTGGACTAGTATTCTTGACTGACTTAAACCACTTGTAGAAAGGAAAGTTGCAAAACCAAATACTAATAGGACTAGACAACCTACACTACAAGGAACCTGCACTTGCCAACCAAATCAGCTTCGGTTTGGGACCCCTGGAGAACCGACAAAGAAATAAAGAAAGACTTACTTAGCATGGGCATGATCCCGTGCAACTTCCATAACTATAATTTTTACAATCATTCAAACTAAGTAACTAAACGATAATTAAATTACTAAATTAGCTTGATTTAATTTCCTTCATTGCCTCCCTTAAATCAAGCTCTTCATGTTGCCATCTCCAACGCCATCATGAGTTTGAATCTCCATGAAAAATTCCATCGCTGTATAGATGATGTGGAACTCCAACTTGCAATTGATGTCCAATTATATTTCTGATGTTTTCTATGTGCCAAGTTTATATCATAATTTGTTGAGTTTGGGACAACTGTCTGAGAAAGGTTATGATCTGCATTTTAAATAAGGTGATGGCACCATAAGTGATGAGAAATTGGGATTAATTGCCAAGGTAAAAATGAACCATAGTCGTTTGTGGCCTCTTTCTCTTAACTGTGGTGATTTACCTTGCTTTAATTCCATGACTTGTGATAATTCTTGGTTATGGCATATGCGTTTTGGACATTTGGATTTTGGGAGTTTGAAATTAGAAAGAAATTAGTTATTAGGTTGCCTTCTGTTGAATTTCCTGATAAGAACTGTGAGTCTTGTATTTTGGGAAAGAAGCACAGGGATCCTTTTCCAAAAGGCAAGGTTTGGAGGGCTAATCGACCGCTTGAACTGATTCATTTAGATTTATGCTCAGTTGAAATTCCTTCCAATGGTGGTAGTAAGTATTTTATTACCTTCATTGATGATTTCAGTAGGAAGACATGGGTGTATTTTTTAAGAAATAAATCTGATGCATGTGATGTGTTTAAAAGGTTCAAATATTATGTCGAGAAGTAGAGTGGCTACTTTATTAAAATTTTGAGAACTGACAGAGGCACTGAGTATCTTGTTTGTGATGACTATTTGATGGAAAGTGGTATAAAACATCAATTGATAGCCAGATATACACCTCAGCAAAATGGTGTGGCAGAAAGGAAGAATAGGACTGTGATGGACATGGTGAAATCTATGATGTATTCCAAAGGTATTCCTAAATCCTTTTGGGCAGAAGCAGTATCTTGTGCTATTTATGTTTTGAATAGGTGTCTTACTAGATGCAATTTTGGGAAGACCCCACAAGAGGTTTGGGCTGGTATGAAACCGGATATTTCTCACTTCAAGGTATTTGGCTGTCTTGCGTATGCACATGCTCCAGATCATTTGAGAAAGAAATTGGATGACAAAGCAGAGAAGTGTACTTTTATTGGATATAGTCATGAGACTAAGGGGTATAAGTTATTCAATCCAAACACAGGAAATGTGATTATTAGCAGAGATGTAACTTTTGATAAACATGAAATTTGGGATTGATCCAGAAAAGATCCTAAGACATGGCCAAAATATCCATTCATTTCTCCCATTATGGGACCGAGTGCTAGTAAGCAAGCAGTGGAGCAAGTTGTGCACTCTTATGATGATCCCTCAACTTCTACTATTCAGGTTGAGACATCCAGCCAACCACAGAGAGAACGCCGCATGCCAGCCCGATTTGATAATTATGTTGTTGGCAAAGATGATGATTTAACTGATGATGCAATTGTGAATTTTGCTCTTTTTGTAGATTGTGATCCTGTCTTATTTGAAAAAGCTGTCAAAGATGATCGTTGGGTTCGTGCAATGGATGAAAAAATTCATGCCATTGAGAAAAATGATACATGGGAGTTGACCACTATCCCACCTAAAAAGAAGTCATTTGGAGTGAAATGGGTATATAAGACCAAGTATAAGCCAACAGGAGAGGTGGATCGCTTCAAAGCGAGATTGGTTGTTAAAGACTATAGGCAAAAGGCAGGTATTGATTATTTTGAAATTTTTGCACCAGTTGCCAGACTTGATACGGTTCGTATGATTGTCTCACTTGCTGCAAATAATTGTTGGAAAATTCATCACATGGATATGAAATCCGCATTTTTAAATGGTTTTCTTGAAGAAAAGGTATATGTTGAGCAACCTGCTGGTTATGTTAGAAAAGGTCAAGAAAACAAAGTGTATAGATTGAAAAAGGCATTGTATGGGTTGAAACAAGTTCCTAGAGCTTGGTATACTCGCATCGATACTTATTTTATTGAGCATGATTTTCTAAGATATCCATATGAGCATACTCTGTACATCAAATTCAACCCTAGAGGAGATGTCCTTATTGTATGCTTGTATGTGGATGATTTGATATTTATAGGCAACAATTCCAAACTAATTTCTAAATTCAGGGAGGCCATGATTAGTCAATTTGAGATGATAGATTTGGGATTGATGTCTTATTTTCTTGGTATTGAGGTTCATCAGTTGGATGATGGAATTTTAATCTCACAAAGAAAGTATGCAAGTGATATTCTGAAGAAGTTTAAGATGGATGTGGGTAAACCAATGATGATGCCGGTTGAAGAAAAATTGAAATTAACCAAAGATGGTACTGGTGATTTTGTTGATGCTACTTATTTTAGGAGATTGGTGGGGAGTCTCAGGTATTTAACTTCTATAAGGCCTGACATCACTTATGGAGTTGGTTTGATTAGTAGATTCATGGAATCTCCACGCCAGTCTCACTTGCAAGCTGCTAAGAGAATTTTGAGATACGTTCAAGGTACGCAATCTAACGGTTTATTTTATTCATCTTCACATGATAACAACCTTGTTGGATGCACTGATAGTGATTGGGCTGGTGACACAATACAAAGGAAAAGCACTTCTGGTTATGCATTTTACTTGGGATCTGGTGTATTTTCTTTGTCCTCAAA